CCTGATCCTTTACGTTCTCGCGCGCGGATATTCACTCTCGCCACCCGCGAGCCGTCTGTGCTCTCCGCGCGTACATTCACTATCGGCTCTACTCTCGCACAGCAGAAAGCGATGGTCGAGGAATTCCTTCGACCGTTATTCTCCCTGAACCGATTGGGGCGTTATGGCGGCTGCCAGGGTTAGCTATTTACCTCTAGGATTTTTTGATATGGAGTGGCATTTGGCTTTCTGGGGAGAATCTCCGTACTGCATGGAATACCGAGAAGAAATCGAACTTGGCTAGGGTATGAAATGTGGAGTTAACCGACCTCTTACTGGAATATCGTTCAGGCTAAATTTACTAGAGACACATGGGTCATCTTGGTGGCTGGCCTGTATGCGGTCTACCTCATTTGTCCGCTACATCCCCAGGGTAACCCTTAGGGTAGCGTGCAGCGGAACCCATCCGGGAAGGAGTCCTCAAAAATGGACCCACCCACCTATTCTTGACCAAGTATTGTTGAATCATCAGTCGGAAAAGTGACGCAGGGTTTTGCGCGGAACCATCCCCAGTCTGGCAGTGCTACACACGATCCCGATGTCAGCACGAAATACACAGGGACAAAACTTCGGGTGGACTAATTGAGAACGCGTTAGGTGATTCCGACCCAGCTAAGGCGGTTCCTGTCTTGAATTATTAGACGCCTCGACAAAATAAAAGTCTGTATAGGTAGGCTGTAGCCAAAAACTTCCAGAAGAGAAGCCACGTAACAGCATTGAACTACGAAGTAATCACGTATTGCCATAGCCAAAATCACTGTTTGCAGTTCCTGTTCTGCTTCGTTCCGCCTCCAGCAATTCTCGGCGGTTGGTTGTGTTTCCTCGTCGGATTGGCTTTCATTGGATTACTTACTGCTGTCGTTGGTACGTATTTCAAAAATTTGTTAAAAATGACAGCGAATAAAAGCTATCAAAACCTTCCCATTCCGACTTTCGTGTTATTCTCCCCTTAGTGTTTCTTATGTTAGGAATGAAAACATTAAACAACGACTTGAAAGAATGTGAAATGGTTCATTTGTAATGCACGGTACGCATGAAGAGGTGACAAGTTCCGACGCGCGCGGTCGCGTCGCGGCAGGCTGCCGGATTACTCAATGCCGCGCCGTGCATAATCTCTGCCATGTCTCACATTTTCCCAGTCTTTTTTGTAACATTTTATTTTTGTCTACCGTATGCCCTACAGACCCCGTCAGTTCGGATTTTAGCTTACGATAATTTAAGGTGATCTCGCTTCGATCTTTGGATGTATGGTTGGCATCGGAGACGCAGTTACTGCGATAACCCTTGTCGCTCTGGGTACGAGTTTACCTGACACTTTCGCCTCGAAGATCGCTGCGCAAAATGTAAGTACCTCTTGTTGTCTCTTTTACTGTATCACGACTTCTATACATGCTTTAGGATGACACTGCTGATAATGCTGTCGGAAACGTGACCGGATCGAATTCTGTCAATGTGTTCCTTGGTCTCGGCCTTCCATGGCTGGTCGCATCCATATATTGGGCTGCGAAGGGTGAAAGTTTCGCTGTTCCTGCTGCGGATCTCGGTTTCAGGTACGTAAGTTCAATGATTTCAGGGTGGTTTTTGATGGCCTGCCTTGAATCATACACTCTTCTATGTGATGTAAGCCTTCTTCTAGAATTGCGAGTAACGCACTAGCTGGGGAGGGGAGAGGGGGAGACAGCCTCACAAGTGACTCCGCCAATGTGATAAAACTGTAATGTGCCTAAAGGGACCTGCACACTCGATCTTATTGTTGCCAGCTCTTCACACTTGAGGCTACGGGCAGAGTCAACCCTGCGTTGCGCAGTTCTCAACGGCCACGTTGCGCAGTTTCGCCCGATTAGACACGTTCTCTCGCGCGAACATTCACACTCGCATGCTCGAGCCGTCTGTGTCTCCGCCCATACAGCGTGCGTTGAGGATCTCTCAACGTGCCGTTGCGAACTGCGCAACGCAGGGTTGACTCTGGCTACGGATCCGGATTAGGTGCCAAGGAGTACTCCGTCGTTAAGTGAGAAAGAGAAAGTGTGCTCAGGCGGCTCACCCTACCAACTAGTAGCCGGCGGGTTAACCTAGGTCTACATTCTTATCGCCCTTGATGAACACACAAACAAGAGCAAGGTATGAATGAGAGTAAAACCACATGGATACAAATACACAAGAACACTCGTCTATCAACATATTATTCACCATTCACCTCGGACTCCCCGGGGTCACCTCACTCAGAGGTGAGCCCCACCAGCTGGCTCTACGTATTAGACCCCCACGTTGGCTCGGCTTCTTCTGGGGGCTCCATGCGGCCGACGTGTCCTATCGGGATGTTGTAAGGGCTGCTCCCAGACGGGGAGCAGGGGGAGGACACGACCGGCTTTGGGAAGGCAGGCGCTCCGCCAGCTCGTGCTCCGGGGCGACGTGCCGGGTTATAGTCGCATCCGCGACATTCTCGCACGACGGCTCTCGCGTGTTTACCTCTCCTCGAAGCGTTGTGTTCCTCCGTCATACCACGGCTGGCGTCACCTAGGAAATTGCAATGTTTTCCATGGCGCTTTTTACTTCTTCTCCTCATTGACCTTTCTCATCAAAGTTCCTGTCTAACGTTCCAAGAGTATTCCGCACCAATTCGATCGCGACCCATGCCTTTAAGTACGCGATGGCGATTGTGAGATTGCTAGCAAAGAAATGCATAGCCATATTTCCATCTTCAAAAACCTCTACGCTAAGCGATCCCCTCGAGGTTTTTGCAAGGATTCTTTTCTATGAT